GAAGGGGATCTTAGGGCATATACAAGGAGGAGGAAGCAAAATGAGGGAACGATGTCTGCAGTGCCACTCATGACAACTCCTAGAGGCAGTCCTAAGCATGCTGATCGTGTTGAATATCCCAAAACACTTGTGGGGCAAACAATTGTGGCATCTACTCAATTGATCAACAGAATGCCCTCGAGAATGTTGGATTAGAAGTCTTATAGTTAGATGTTAAATGGAGATAATAATAACGAGATTCTCTCATTGAAGGTATTTGAATGTGTATGTTTTGTGAAGGACAGCAAACTATTTGTAGGGAAGCTAAATCTTAGAGTTGTGAAATATGTTTTTATGGGTTATTCTACTGTTCAGAAGGGATATGTTTGTTGTAGCCCGATAGAGAAGAGACTGTTTGTGTTCTTCAAAGAACTTGAAATGTACTACACCCTTGAGGTGACCTCACCCTAGTGACTCACCAGATACTATACTAGAGGTATGAGGCAAGAAGGGGTAAGTAGTCTGGTGAGAGATTGATACATGTGGTAGCGATGCCTTGTCCCGTGATATGGGAGGAATCGGTTGAGGAGTCAGAAAATGAGGTGACTGAAGCCGGAGGTGGTGAGATTCATGTTGAAGGGGAGCTTAGGGCATATATAAGGAGGAGGAAGCAAAATGAGGGAACGATGCCTGCAGTGCCACTCATGCCAACATATGCTTGCCCTAGTTTGTCCCGACTCTAGAGACACCTACACCATCCACCTCAAACTCACAATTCACATGTGATATGATTCCTCTTCGGTCTACTTCAAACCCCATAGTTGCAAGAAAGACCTCTCGTAGGAATGTGGGACATCCTTATGATTGTTTTGGGTGAGAACATGATGTTTTTTAGTTTATTTCATACTCTAACATATCACCTATACCTTGAGCATTCATTGCATGTTAGGACACTGTCTTTATTCGAAAGTGTTGGCAAATTGCTAATGAGGATCCTAAGTGGAAAGTGACCAAGCATGAAGATCTTGGAGCTCTCAATAAAAACTAAACATGTGAGATAGTGCCACTACTAGTTGGAAAAAGAGCAGTTGGGTACAAGTGAACTTCACAGTGAAATAAAATCCAAAAGGAGATGTGGAGTGTTACAAAGTACGATTGGTGGTAAAATGGTACAATAAGACGTATGATATTGACTAGATTGAAATCTTTGCACAATTAGTGAAGATGACCATACCGAGTACACTGATTTTTTTGGCAGTGGATGCTTGGTAAATGTTACACCAACTCGATGTGAATAATACGTTTCTTCATGATGAGTTACTGGAGGAGGTGTATATAGAGATACCACCAGGATTCGGTACAGGCTTGATGGCGGCCAAGGTGTGCAGGCTTAGAAAGCCACTTTATAGCTTGAAACTGTATCCTCGAGCCTGGTTTGACAAGTTTAGAAGGACTATAATGGGCATGAGATATCTACAAATCAATGCCAACCATACGGTGTCATTTCGACAACATGGAGGTCACACCACTATGCTTGCTATGTATGTTGATGACATGATTGTCATTGGTGATAATGTGGCAGAGATTGCTTAGCTAAAGGTAAGATTGAATAAGGAATTTGAGGTGAAGGACCTCAGACAGCTTTGATATTTCCTTGGGATTGAGGTTGCCCATAGACAAGAGAGGTGGTCTTGCCTCAGAGAAAGTATATACTGGATCTCCTTATAGAAGCATGCATGCTAGGATGCTAGTTTGTAGTCTCTTCAATTGATCAGAAGGTTAAGCTAAGTTTAGAGGCAGGAGAGCCAATTGATTGCAGGAGTGGTGGGCTGCCTGATCTATTTGAGTCATAATCGTCCCGACATCTCATTTGCAGTGAGCGTGGTGAGTCGATACATGCATAATCCAAGGAATATGAACGCAGTGTATTAGGTTGTGAGGTACCTGAAGAGTGCACCAGAGAAGAGATTGATCTTTAAGAAGAATGGGCATGTAGGCATTGAGGGCTATTGTGTCTCTAATTGGACGAGTTGTACTAATGATAGAGGTCCATATCAGGATACTGCATGTTTGTAGGGGGCAACTTGGTCTCTTGGAAGAGCAAGAAAGTGTGGTGTCCGTGACACAAGTAAATATGGGGGCCTCCTTAAATTTTGGTGTGACTTTCCTTACAAGTAACAGCTGAAGGGAGTTTAGATAAAAAAATTCATGTTCTAAAATTTTGAAGCTTACTTTCTCAACAAATACCATTAAGGAAAAGGCAAAATAACTGCCTTGGTGCTAAGATTAGAAACAAGTATGGTTATCCCTATCAGTAGAATTTCTTATGACTATCAACTAAAGCTTTGCACTTTTTGAGATTTTTATATCAATAAGAGTTATATGCTTTGGGTGATATGCCTGTAAATATGCAGTATTTTGTAGTATACAAATAAGAACTCTGAAATTAATCAGGAGGAGTATGTGTTTCTGTTAATTTCACTTTGTCGATGTTTACTTAGTTGTTTCAATTTCAGTCATTATGCATGCATCAAAGTTTGATTAGTATTCTATAATTTGATAGAAAAAAATGCTTCAATCCTGTCAATAGGATGAAAGTACATTTTCTTTAAAATCATAGACCATCCATCAAGTTTTGATTTTTTCTTGAAGGTCACGCTGAAAAATTAAGGAAACAGCATTAATGCACAATTGTGCAGTTGCATACTTTTTCTAATCATACATATGCTGAAATAAGGAGCATATTTTTTTCTTTCAAGGAACGTGCGATTATGTAAAACATAAATTAATAATCTTTCCTTAATTATTTTAGCTATATGCATCATTCACACATTAAGACTTGATTGATGGCCTATATGTTATAGTTTGATTGGAAAGATTTCTAGATCATATCAATATGACTAGAGCCTCCCTCTATCTGTGAGAAAGGGAGATGAAAGAGATGGATTTTACTCCTTGGAGGAGCACACGCATTTTCCCTTCAAGTTTTTAACCTATGTATTAATAATTTAGGGGATAATATTAGTCATTCTTGTAAATAAATACTATTTTCTTATCAATTTAGTTTGGACATATCATTAATCTAACGGTTGAAAAGTTAGATGACTGGTTATGTCTTCCAGGGGTAGTGCTTCTTATATGTCAATGGAGGCTGAGGTAATTCCTTGTCTCTGAATGCTGGTCTGAGCTTGATCTTTATTTATGTCTATTTGTCCCTTTCAAGTTACAATATTGAGCACCATTTTAAGTTCGTTAAAGCTTCAGCTTGAATAAATAGTGGCTGATATTTTATTATTCCGTGAGCTACGTCTGACATTCTATTCTATTGTTTTGCAACAACAACAACAACAACAACAACAAAGCCTTAATCCCACTATGTGGGGTCGGCTACATGAATCCTTTTTCTCCATTGCGTCCTATTTAGTGTCATATTTTCATTTAGTTCTAGTAAATTAAGATCATTTTTAATACAATAAGCCCAAGTCTTCCTAGGTCTACCTCTGCCTTTCTTAACACTAGTCGAATTTAAAACATCTACTCTCCTAATCGGATCATCTAATGGTCGACGTTTAATATGACCAAACCATCTAAGACGACTTTCTCTAATTTTGTTTGTCACAGGAGCTACACCAACCCTATCATGAATATATTCATTCCGCATTTTGTCTCTAAGTGTAAAGCCACTCATCCACCTAATCATTCTCATCTCGGCAACACTTAACTTATTATTATGCTTCTCTTTTAAAGGCCAACATTCAGCGCCATAGAGCATTGCAGGTCTCACCACCATCTTATAAAATTTTCCTTTCAGTCTTAGCGGTACTTTTCTATCACACAAAAGGCCCGAAGCATTCCTCCACTTCAACCAACCAACTTGAATTCTACTATTAACATCCCCATCTATATCACCATCGTTTTGGACAACGGACCCAAGATATCTAAATCGTTCACACCTTTTAATAATTTGATCACCCAAAGTCACACTTCTGTCACTAGAGCTATTACTGCTAAAATTATATTCCATGTATTCAGTTTTAGTTCTACTTAAACGAAGGCCTTTAGACTCCAATGTAGACCTCCATAATTCAAGTTTTTCCTGGGCTTTTTCTCTCGTTTTATCCACGAGAAGAATATCATCAGCAAAAAGCATACACCAAGGTACATCCTCTTGTAGATGTCCAGTAAGACCATCCATAACTAAAGCAAAAAGATATGGGCTTAAAGTCGATCCCTGATGTAAACCAACAGAAATAGGAAAATATTTTGTCAATCCTCCTTCAGTTTGAACACAAGTAACAGCTCTAGTATACATATCTTTAATGACTTGAATATAAGTCATATCAACACATTTCTTCTCGAGAACTCTCCAAAGGATATCTCTTGGAACCTTATCGTAAGCTTTTTCTAAATCAATAAAAATCAAATGTAGATTCTCCTTATTATCTCTGAACTTCTCCATCAAACCTCTCAATAAATGTATAGCTTCCATAGTAGACCTGCCAGGCATAAATCCAAATTGAAATATCCTATTCTATTGTTTTGCAAATAGTAATATTTGACTTGCGCTCTTGAGGAATATGATTTTCATTCTAGATGTACTCCAGACCATTCCAGGTTTATAGTGTTAAATACAAAGTAGTAAGGCATGGCTATATAAATCATGGCTATATCTGTAATAGGCTTCATAATTTAAATGATATCCTGACTAAATCGAAATGAATGCTTTTAAATCAAGTTACCTTCTTATGCTAGAATTAAATGAAAATATGACACTCAATAGGACGCAATGTAGAAAAAGGATTCATGCAGCCGACCCCACTAAGTGGGATAAAGGCTTATTGTTGTTGTTGACCTTCTCTTTAAATTTATCATTATCCTTTTTGTGAGATAATCAGTCATCTTTCTAGCACCTGTAAATTTTCTTTGAGAAACATAGAAAGCCCAAGAAATCTTTTTTTTGTATAAATAATTTTTAAAATGTATATAATTTTTATGTCATCTTGTTGGCCTATATTTGTCAGATACCGAGCGGTGACTAGTGCTTACTATAGAGGAGCTGTTGGAGCAATGCTTGTTTATGATATGACCAAACGGCAGTCTTTTGATCATGTCGCTAGGTGGTTAGAGGAACTGCGAGGTCATGCTGACAAGAACATTGTTATTATGCTTATTGGAAATAAGTCCGATCTGAGCACTCTTCGCGCTGTCCCTACTGAGGATGCGAAGGAATTTGCCCAGCGCGAGAGCCTCTACTTCATGGAAACTTCTGCTCTTGAATCTACTAATGTCGAGTCCGCCTTCCAGACTCTTCTCACGGAGATTTACCGTATAATCGGTAAGAAAGCTCTTGTTGCCAATGAAGCTGAGTCTAGTGGAAACTCAACCCTTCTAATGGGAACTAAGATAGCCATCACCCCTGAGCAACCGGGTGATAAAAAGACTGCATGCTGCACGTCCACTTAGGCAGGTTTCCCCCTTTTTATGCCATTTTTTATTGTTCTTTATTATGCTATATTTATTCAAAATTTATTATATAACTTAGTGAAGGTATGGAGGATTCTAAAGATCATTTAGTACTGGATTTGTACTTGTTTGATAGCTAACTCTGGGTCAATATCTTCTATGCTCCACACTGTAGGACAGACAATAAACAGATCCAGAAATTTAATCATCTTTCATTGGTATTATGTAGTTCTATTGTTCAGTTGATCTATTCCTTTTGGGCATGAGATAGTGGGAGGGGCATTTGTTTGAATTTTTATTTTTATTTTTATTTAGTTTTGCTATAAACTGTTATAAGCTTAAGGATGGTTTACATCTGCTGTAGATTCCAATGACTGTTAATTGATTGGTACAGTTCGATTTTATTTGATTTAATTCATTTTAATGTTTGTGATTTTCTATGAATTATTTAGTTTGATTCTATTTTAGTTGGACTAAATTTGGTCACAAACACACCCAAACGCCTTACATTGTGCCAATTAGATTTATATATATTTTTTTCTTAAAATGATTCAATTTCAAGTCGTGAGTAGTTTTATTTCTGGAGCTATTTTCATGTCCAATTCTTCTTTGAATTGTTCATGCTTAATTAAGCTTTATTTTTTGCAACAAAGCAGCTTTTCCGGAGGCCGAGTCTGTTTTGTTCTCGTCTTTGTAAAAAGACGATTTCACTATATGACTGGGTGCTCAATGTAATTAAGTAGTTTTGTAGAGACTACAATGGAATCTTCATCAACTGTTAAATCAATTAACTTCTTACATAACTGAGTTTTTCTTTGATACTAGTGTGGATTTGTTTTGCTTAAGAGCTTGTTGAAATAGAAATATTATATGTTATTTTAAACCACAAAATTATTACTAATTAAAAAAATATGTACAATAAGAGGGTAATTAATTAGAATTGTGGGAAAAAAAACAAACAAACACACACACATTAGATAAAATAAATGTAGCATGGGACACAAGCAAACACTGGGGTCTGAAAATCACTTAGCTCCCTTGGCTTGAAGTCTGGTGAAAGTAGAAGAGTGATGAATGTATTTTTTTCTCCTATCTGATGACTTAGGAATGGAACATTCTATCCTTCAACACACCACTCCCCCATCACAATCAAGAGTATGTTGTGAATCACAATCATCTAATACTTCACCAATATGAGGAAGATTAGTAACTTATAGAATAGCAGGATTAATGTTTGAGGTAATATTGCTCTGCGTACTCAGATCAGTTGGCTGACATCTGTTTGTCAGTTATAAGTTTCCTTTGGTCTGGGGTTCGTATCCTCTCAACTGTAGGGCGTGATACTCGAATTCTTAAGCACATGAGGGATGACCGGGGCTCGTATAATAACCTTCGGCCATTCCTTAAAAAAGAAAAAAAAATGTTTGAGGTAATATTTATTAGTGTAGAGATACATATGTTGAAATAGTAGGGTAGGCAAAACAATTTTAGCCTCCAAAGAAATATCAATTGGATTCTATTTCCAAGTACTAACCTTAGTTGATGAAGGAGCAACAACTTATGTAGGAGTTGGTAAGATTTATAGAGAATTTGTTAATGGCATTTATTTTAGGATAACCCAACGAGAATTTATAAACAATCGATAACAAAATGATTGAACAAGTTAAGATCTCATATTTAGTGAAGAAGAGTTTGAGTTTGCTTTGAATTGCTTAACCTGGCTTATGTAAAGGTGAAATTAAGGCTTGATGAAAAATTTAAGGAAATTGAATGAAAAGTGGTGGAAGCAAACTTGAAACCTACTGCCCTCCCTCCACATTTATAAAAGAATGAGCGGTGCAAACAATATTTGAAGGAGCTTCTAAGATGACAAAATCAATTGAAATAGGGTGTGATGACTATAGTTTGAAGGGAACTAGCATAACCTCAGGACCTTCTGATGGAGTAATTGGGAGAAACTAGAAGAAATTGGTGAAGAGCAAGACAAATGATGTTTGGACATGAGCGAAGTGGATCTGAAATGAGAAATAGTGAATGTTTTTTTGGAGGGGAGAGCGGCTATGCACTAGTGAAAAGTGGAGTTGTGTTATAGCATTAGCCATAGAGGCTGTCATTGGCTTTGGAGAACCTAGTGTGAGAAACAAGAAATGAAGGCAAACGACAAAGTTGTTTGCAACGAGTATAGTTGAGGAATCAAAATACAAACACTTGTGGGATGGGACTTGCATGTAGAGCCAAGGAATGATGCTAGGAAGCCATCATGAAGTTAAGCGATCACTGTCACTCGTGATAGCTAAGTTGAGGGAGGTATATGAAATTTTCTCAACATATTTAAAACTACTATTTTGTGATTGAGTATGACTTAGAAAATAATATATTGCTCTAAAAGAAAAAAAAAATTATTTCTTTATAGACTCAATGACAAAAATGTAAAGTTTTAAAATTTATATTTTTTATATTTCTGAGGATCTTCTCATTCTCATATACTTGAATCAATTATGGTCTATTTTATCCTCGGATATAAGCTCTCTATAAATATAAGTTCTTATAGATAATTACATGTCAAGTAAGTTTCGTTCGTATAACAAACTCTTAATTAAAATGAGGACTAATACTTTTTATGATTTCAGAGATTTTAGTTAAGGATATGATCTTGAATTTCAAATGAAATTGAATCTAACTTTTGGAATTGATTTTTTAATACATACATGCTAAAAGAGTAAGAGACATGGTACTTAAATATGAGAAGTTACAAATCCTCAAAATTAGTCTAGGTCGTGCTTTATATTTTAGGGTCAAAATTATGTTTAACTTGACTAATCTTTTTTAGATAGGGTATAATCTCAATTATATAAAAGTTAGAAAATGCTTAAAAACTAAGGGCGTTATGATATAGCTATGAAGAATATTGGCTTTTAAGCCTAAATATAAGGAGAGAGTTGCTAATCAGATAGTAACTTGGACCTAAATTTTATGGATGTCTATAAATTGGATGTCTATAAATTGTAGCTTCAAATCTCTTCAAAGGTTAATTAGCCCTACCCATTATATTATAGTCCCTCTTAAGAAGGATAGTCAACTAAATTCACCTAAACATTTTTAAAACCATGTCCTTGGTCTATATGCATATATATGATAGGCTTGATTATTTTTATAACAACAACAACAACGAGCCTTTATTCTACTAAGTGGAAGTAGCTACATGAATCATTTTTTTGCATTGTCCTATTAAGTATCATATTTTCATTTAATTCTAAAAAATTAAGATCTTTTTTTATACAACATGCCCGACTCGTTTTAGGTTTACCTCTACCTTTCTTAACATACATCAAATTTAAAACAAATACTCTCCTAACTAGGTCATCAAATGGTCAACATTTAGGCTTGATTATTTTTTAATTTAATAAAATAAACTTACAACTTAGTCACTTAAGCTGTTTGACTATAAGGGGTATGCATGCTAATTCTTTAGTACATTTTTCTTTAGTTGTCCAATCCTTAATTATTGGATCTTTTCATTTTAAGAATGAGACTCACAAGGCTATGCATATAAAATATATCAATTAAGACATGAGTTTAATGATGATTTATGTATGCACATTCTTTCATACATAAGGCAATTAGTCCAATAATATATTACATTGAGATTAATAAGGAGGTTCTCGAATTTTAAATTATTTTAAAATTGTAATAATTCATTCAATATTTATAATGAAAATATTGCTATATCATTAATTTTATTTTGCTTATATTTTAAGGTTAAAAAATTCAATTTTTATGAGTCTGATGTGACAAACATGTTCATGTCATTTCACACAGTAATATCAAGCAAATAAAAAATATAATGCAATTTTATTTTATTAGAATTAAATGAAATTATGATACTAAAATGGAAACAATAGAGAAAAATAATTCATGTAGTTGATCCCACTTCGTGGGATAAAAACTTGTTGTTACTATTGTTGTTGTATGCAATTTTAATATAACTCCTAATAAATAAATAATTTAAAAAAATAAGCAAAATTTAAAAAAATGTTGAGGCAGCTAAATTCTATATCACACCAACAATAACAATAACAACTAGTCTTTATCTCATTAAATGGGGTCATCTACATGAATACATTTTCTTTATTGTGTCTTACTGATTGTGACAATGATTTAAGAGATTCATGTCATATATTTTCGATAAAAGTTTTACACTGACTATCAACTAACACAACTTTTCACTTTTCACATTCAAGACTTAGAATCCGACAATGGTAGTGTTAAGACTGTACACCACATATATATTAAACAGAAAGTAGGATACATATAGATTGTGTGGGAGGGCCCAAACATGACACCCTGCCCACACGATAAGCACCACATGCAAATGGTTTCAAAAAAGAGAAAATACAGAAAAATACATGAGAGGCCTAAAGAAAAAAACAAAAAAGTGCCAAAATACGAAGTATTAAGTAGCTAGAGAGTGACCCAATTTTGCTTTGTCTCTGCCTCTAGTTATAGGGAATGAGCCAGCTAATAAATTGGTAAGATGAGTGTCATTGCCAGTAGTAACCAATGTATCATCCAATAAGTTCCAAAGCTCGAGTCAGCCTCCATTCTTTTTCTTCCTCTTGGAATGGACCTGTCATTCCTCATCCGAAGATTGGCTCACCTGATCAGTGGATTGATCTAAAGTATGTCGGACATGTGTAGGTTGTTGAACACTAGAAGCAACTACTTGTTGTACCAGCTGATCTTTTATTGGATCAAAGGTGCACTCTCATGTGTCTTGCCATGTAAGTGTGTCTTCTTCAATAACAATGAGTAGTATAAGCACAATTAGATCTGTACCTGTAGTATGACGTTCTTCATCAGGAACTGCGGTGTTGGAAAGAGGATCGAGTTGCACCTTCTCAGCAGGGATGTTAGTTGGTTGATTTTTAGCGATATTCAGCCTTAGATGAGGATGCAAGCGATAACAAATATAAGAACTGAACATACTACAATGAGTGCAATAGAGAGGGTGTGGTTATATTTCAACATTTTGCCAATACCCGTTATAAGTGGTGTCATTCCATATCTCATCCGGAGCTGGTTGCGTGATATCTCTCTCAACTAACAGACAAGCCACAGAGAGTCTGGTGACAGCAAGCGTAGGAGTATCCACCTTGAGAGACTTACTGTAAGCAGCTGCTAATGAGTAGAGAATTTTCAAGTTGAGCAAATGTAATTTTAACCCCAAAAACTTTATCCAAACAAGAATGATAGGGAACTCTAGTTTTGGATCAAAATCGACTGTCCATTTCAGAATTTTTAT